AAAAAAAAAAAAAGCCAGTCCCAGGAGACAGGGCATTCTTCTTCATGGATAAGGTAAACTTCATAATCTAGTCACTCTGAGGATAAGGTAAACAATGCCAGTTGGCAATCTAGTTGCCGGGTGTTGTAGGGTTTAGAGCTAATGCAAAACGTCTACCACATTGTGAACTGAAAAAAGTTCAACTTCAACCCCAAACTCAATCGGTTTAGACCGAAGATGGAAATGTGATTAGAAACCCTAAGGTGATTTCGGTAATAATGTTTCAACTGGAATTTAACAGACAACACTACCCACAACCACAATGCCTTCCTTTCTCCAAAGTAGAAAACTAGAGAGTGGTTCTGATAGGCCATTCCGGGCCTTCGTCAGAAGACACACAAGGAAGAAGGTGGCAGCCCAGCAAGAGGAAAGCCTAGAAGAGGGAGAAGCCTAAATGGATGCTGAATTAAGGGGAGCAGGAGACGCATGGAAAGGGAATAAAAGTCTGTTATGAAGATTCCAAGGTTGTTATCAATTGTCGGTCATTTCTTATTTCTCTTTTCGCTTAGCTGTCGTATTAGCTGCCACATCAGCTGGTAGAATCGATAGCTCTATATCCGTGTTTGAGTCTGTAAGGTGAGAGGTATCCAGAAAATAGAGAGAAAGCGAGGAAAGGGGGAGAGTAGAGTCTCTCAATAAACAAGCTCAACGTTGTATTTCTTGCTGCGAGGAATACAATCTGCGTATCTTTTTATTACAAACGTATTACATTGGTATCAGAGCCACAGCGATCCAGTATGCCACCGAAAGATCAACACCGCACGGATTCAGAGGATTCAGTCAACACTAGGCTTTCTCATTTGGAAACCAGTGTGGGCTCGATTCAAACCAACATGGGGGAGTTGCAATCCGGTGTCGTCGGGTTGCAGAAGGACGTCGCCAAAATACCGGCAATGGAGAAGTTGATGGAAAAGTTATGCCTCCTGCTCGGTGAGATGCGTGAGCATCCAACGCCGGTAACAACAGATTCCGCTGAACCATCCTCGTGTGCACAGGAACTGTTCCGACGTGAGGGGAAGTCTCCGGTCGACTCTACACCGCTACCACCGGGGTTCTTACTCCAGACCATCATCGATGCCCAGAAACCACCGACCACCGAGACGACAGGAGCTCCGTACATCGCGGGTACCGAGCTTAACCTTCGCAAGATTGAAATGCCCATTTTCGAAGGTTCTAATGTTGCAGGTTGGATTGTGCGAGCCGAACGATACTTTACACTTGGAAAAATCCCTGACGGCGAGCGATTGGCCCTGGCTGCCATGAGCATCGACGGCGAGGTGCTTCACTGGTATGATTGGCAGCAGGAAAATCAACCATTTTTAGACTGGCGGGATTTCAAATTTCGGATTCTGGAGAGATTCGACGAGATGATTTCCGGGCCTGTCATCCATCGTTTGCTGACGTTGCGCCAAACTTCTACTGTGCTTGATTACTTGCGAGATTTTGAGGAAATCCTCGCCCAGCTGCGTCACTGCCCACACGAGTTCCTCGAGGGTGTCTTCCGAAACGGGCTCCGACCCGAATTGCGCGACATGCTGGATTTATTTCACCCTTCTGGATTAGCCCAGACTATTTCGATGGCGATCCGCTTCGATCGCAATCCTCTTTGCCATCCGGCGGCTTGGCCCAAAACGAGAGAGAATCGGGCTTTCAAACAGCATGGGCCCAATACGGCTGCGTTTCGAACAGTATCGCTACCAACGAGTAACTCTTCTTGGCAGACACGTGGCCATGTCCCTAAAAAGTACGAAGGGTTGGGTTCTTCCCTTCCACCGACAACTCCTGTCCCAGTTTCCGATGTCTCGTCGCCATCCCCGGCGTTCAACCCTCGCCGGATTTCCGATTCTCAGATGGAGGATCGACGCAAGAGGGGCCTGTGTTATCGCTGTGATGAAAGGTATTTCCCGGGGCACCGTTGCAAGAATCGGGACTTACAGGTTTTGGTAGTCGAAGATGAGGAGACACCGCCAAATCCAAACTCTGAACCTTCAGAGCCGACGACTGAGGATACCAACACCGACGTGACAGAACTGGCAGGCCTCTCGTTAAATTCGATGGTCGGCATTACTTCTCCCAAAACCTTGAAAGTTCGGGGTTTCATCAATGAGAGACCAGTGGTGGTACTAATCGACTCGGGGGCGACGCATAACTTCGTTTCAGTTGCCGTGGTTTCCCAGTTACACCTTACGCCGGAATCGATTCCCCACTATGGCGTATCACTGGGCACGGGGTTGACAGTTCGCGGCAACGGGATTTGCCGTAACAGCTCTCACTAGCTCATTGCTCTTTGGCCGTAACCGAATAAAACTCGAATTTCTCAACATCCTCGACGCTCTTACCCCTTTTTCCGATATGCACCATTTCCAGTATCCACCGTCTAATTTTTCTGACGTACACAAGTTCTAGCGCTTAGCGAAACCAAGTCAACTAAGCAACATTCGGAGTCAAACCACTCTCGTGTAAGAGAAGGAATCGGAAATAGAATTAATGGATTTACAAGTAAAATTACCAGCAGAGTTCGCGAGGGAGGAAACCGTCATTGCCGACATTTCGCTTGGCCCGAAAATCCTCGGATATACTGGATTCCCGCCAAATCTGCCACGAGATCCGCACTTCCCAGCAGAAGACGAGGAACAAGAAGAGGAGAAGCAAACGAGGTTAAACTCAACGAACTTCCGTAGCAGTCACAGTCGGTGGATCCGAGAAGGGACATATCTTTGCCCCCATAACCGGAGCTCGGGCAAAGCTCGTCGAAGGAACAGCCATCGCCGGCGACGATGTTAGCTCGAAGAAGATCATGTATACCTCTTTTTGACGGAGATTTCTTCGGCTTCTCTCCGCTTTTAGTACCGCAGAAATCCCTCTCTCCCTCCCTTTGATTTTCTTTTTCTTTCTTTACAATAAATTGTTTCTTCTTTTATTCCAAACCTTTATTTTTACTTTACTCTTTTTTTTTTTTTTTTTGGGCTCTTTCGGTATTTGAATGTCCGATAAAAGGCAGAGAAGCGAACGGCGCACGGGAGCGTATAGATCCCGATGCTAACGTGCACCGTTAACGGAGACGAACGATATTAACGGTAAGAAAGGGGATGTCAGTTGTCGGAGAGCCTCGGAGGTACCCACAAACTAACGTCTCCGTCGACTATCCATCCATCCAACGTCTCACTTTAATTAAACAAAGATCAGATGAAATGACTCTATTAGCCTCTTTAGGTGCATTCGACTTCACTAATAAACATGAAATGATGTTTTCGCTAACATGCAATCGTTATTCCATCGGTTGCCACTTCGTATAATCATTTCTTTATTTTTATTAAACAGGTGGCACAATTTCTTTCATTTGATCGAATATTAATATTGTTATTCAATAGTCGAGATTGAAACTAAGCATGCATGCATGCATCCAAAAGCTACGTACGTGCGTACGTACAAAAGATCTAATCAGGTCAAAGAATTTGGAATAATGAGTCAACGAAACCCATCTCCATCTTTTATACAAATATACACAAAGTACATTCGTTTTGGTTTAAACATAGAATAATGGTGGAGCTATCATGCCGTCGGACATTTTCCGAAACTTATTTTCCGGCGACCGGCGATGGGGCATGTCGCAAGGCACGGTTCATTAACGTTGGCATCATCCTTCGGCGGAAGTACCCCGAATTTGAACTGCCAATGACATTGATATATACAAAAAATAAAAAAGCAAAAAAACGAGTGAATTAACTGGATAGATTATAAACAGAAGTGTTCCAAGAACCTGGGAATCTGTTTTGGATTATAAACAGAGCTCTGCTGTTCTGTCGGAACCATATGCATTGTGTTCCAAGAACCAGTGAAGAGAACGTACCTGGCAACTGTAGTCACTGAAGTTTGGTTCCATCAATAGAGGAACTCCCATGTCTTCTTTAAAGAATCTCTGCAAGATCCAAATCCCAGTATTCCTGGATTAAACCATTATTAACAAGCGAAATCCCGAACCATTTTTCCCAATTCCGATCACTGTCTTTTAAGATTCTGGTATTTGCTTCAGCTGGACTAGAAGAAGTAGAGACAATGTACCAATCAAAAGGCAACAAACTGGTCTGACCTGTGTCGGTATTTTACATGTATTAATGCATACTCCCACACACTTGCTCTCCTCCAGATACCGGCATTTTTCCACGTAAACCTGCATAAAATTCAACTCCTCTATGTATAAGCAAGATGGAAACACAAGAAAATCAAATACATAGAATGGATTTTCAAATGATTACCCCGCTACTCCATGATTCTCCATTTGGAAGATCAACCAAACTGACTTTGCATGGTCCCATGAGCCATTGACAGGTAAAAACGGTAACTCTTGCTTGAGAAAAAACACACACAAGAAAATCAAATAGGAGAGAATGGTTTAGATGACTATGTTCAAATCATCAAAGATTCAGACTTTGAGCATGGGAGCAGAATATAGCATCTGGAAAATCTAATTCTCTCGATATATCTCTAATTCCCATGAGAGCCCGCACGGGATTTACATCAAGTGATAATCTTCCATAGTCTCATAGTGCATTCCGATATATATCTACGGAGATTGAGGATAGAACTTACTACGGAGATTGAGGATAGAACTTACCAACCATCAATGCAGCTATTTTCCCTTGTGCTATAGGAGCAATGAGAAGCTTGTAAAGCTCTAAAATGAGGGGAGGAAAAAATGATTTCAGTATCCTCACCTGCACCCCGCAAGAGAAATACATGTCAGCATTCGAACCAAAGCTTGTGGAAGAACTGAATTTCTGAGGCAAATCCTAGAATGGTAAGACAAATTGCACAGAGATCCTAAAAACTTTCCCTCAAGAAGATATAAAAAAACTACATTGCAATTAGAATCTTCCAAGACCACCAACTTTCGGGCTCCTACCGAAATTTCCACACTCAAAGAAGGGAGAAAACTTCGAATGCTAAGACATTTTCGGTTTCAGATGAAACTTCAAAGAACCACAATTATCAATTATGAAAAAAATGGAAGTAACTACAGATCAGTGAATCTCCAGACATGAACATAAGAAAAACTGTCGACTCAGCAGGAGAAGCTTCACCAGCTCTATCAGCCCATCATAGCCGGGTTTCTCCGAATCCGACCCGACTTCCTGTTATACATCCTTAATCGCGGACAAGAAGATCAACCAAATGTATCCTAATTCTACAAGACCCCAATTCGCCCTAATTCTGGAAGAAATCAAACAAACACTGCTGCAACTCACCTCGATCAGTTTGTTCCTGAACGAATGCAGGAAGAAATTGTCGAGAATCCCAGGCTTATACTCCAATTTCGAGGATCCTTCGTCTGATTTCACCTGGATATCAAACTAACTTTCAAACAAACCCGGATATGGACATGCGTGTGCATGTGCATACACAGAAATCCAGAAAACGAAGAAGAAAATTGAAACTGGCACCACCATATCCGAGGAATCAGAGGAACGGCACGAAAACCCTCGTATCTGATTCGGGATTCGAGGACTGAACTGCGAAGACGACGAGACGGAGAAGAAGGTAGTCGCCGGAGGAGGAACACGGAGAAGGAGAGCCATTTCTGGCCTTTCAAGCTTGTTTCATCCGCGAAGCCCAAGAGGAGATATCTTAGTTACAGATGTGAACTACACGCCGTTTTATGATAGTAAAACGTCAAGCAGTTCAATTTTCATTTTGTAAAATGATTGTAACACAACTTAAAACCCTAACAAAATCCTCACTTCTGGGTTCTCTGTTCAGTTTTCAGAATTAGAGAGAGAGGAGTGTATTTTGGGGTTGAGTGAGAAAATGATCGCTCGTAGTGTGGTCTCTCCTGGTTCACGCCTCGCGAGGCGGTTCTGTACAGCGGTTTCAGCTCAGGCAGCCGGCGGCGAGGCTTCCGCTTCTGCTCCGCCTCCGCCGGCAGCGAAGACGGCGGCTGAGTCGAGGGCAGCGACGAGTAAGCATCGCTCGTTGTACAGGACACTATCGGGGCTTGGGGCGGATGCAGGGACAGTGGCAGGAGCGTTGAATCAGTTCATATTGGAGGGTAATCCCGTCAGAAAAGACGAGCTCGTTCGCTGCATCAAGGAGCTCAGAAGGTTCCGTCGATACCAGCATGCCCTCGAGGTCGGTCTTTTCTTCCTAATCCATCCTCTGTTCGTTTATAAGTTTCAGGGATTAGTTGGGACAATAGTTGCTGGCATCTGGGTTCTATGGTTTTATTAATGTTAATATGTCTGATCTTTGACATATTCTGAATATGGTTTCTCGGTGGAGAAATAATGGTGGGTTCATTGGGTTTGATTTGATAAAACTTGGATTCTGGATACTATGATATGATATGTGAAAGGATCTTATGGAATTCCTGGTTGCAAATGAATAGAAAATGTACTGATTAGAACTGTTGCATAATGTTAATGCTGGCTGTTTATTCTGTCTTCTCTCTGTTTTTGTTGGTCTTATGAGAAGGTATATGAGTGGCTGGAGAAAAGGAAAGTTACATTTTCTGTCACCGACCATGCAATGCGTTTGGATCTTATTGCAAAGACCAAAGGTTTAGAGGTGGCTGAAAGTTTCTTTAATAGCCTCGACCCTGCTGCCAAGAATGTGTCGACTTACGGGTCGATGTTGAACTGCTACTGCACGGGTCTTATTGAAGAAAAGGCGAAGACCCATTTTCAGAAGATGAGTGATCTCAATCTTGTTGCAAATTCTTTACCGTTTAATAATATGATGGGCATGTATATGCGGCTGGGTCAACCTGAGAAGGTATCCGGGTTGGTTGATGAGATGAAACAGAGGAACATCTCCCCCTGTAGTGTTTCTTACTCTATCTGGATGCAGAGCTGTAGCAGTTTAAACGACATAGATGGAGTGGAGAATGTTCTTACCGAGATGGCCAATGATAGCGAAGATAAATCTACGTGGAACACATTTGCTAATCTGGCGGCAATCTACACTAAAGCTGGGCTTATTGAGAAGGCAGAGTTGGCCCTGAAATCTCTGGAGGAAAAGATGAATCCTCGCAACCGTGATTCCTACCATTTTCTCCTTAGTTTGTATGCTGGAACTTCGAATCATTCTGAAGTTTACCGAGTTTGGGACACTTTAAAGACGTCTCTCCCTGAGGTGAACAACACGAGCTATCTTGTCATGCTTCAAGCACTAAACAAGCTAAATGACACAGATGGAGTTCGGAAACTCTTTGAGGAATGGGAATCACGATATCGTACTTATGACATGAGGTTGGCAAATCTCGGGATTAGCAGCTACTTGAAAGGAGACATGTACCAAGAAGCCGAGGCTGTTCTTTCTGATGCCATGCAAAAGTGTAAAGGGCCATTCTCAAAGGCAAGACAACTTCTCACGATCCACCTGTTGAAGAAAGGGGAAGCGGGTTCGGCTCTGAAGCATTTGGAAGCAGCTGTTTCTGGGGAGAAGAAAGACGACTGGAACTGGAGCTCGGAATTGATCGAATCTTTCTTTCTTCACTACCAGAAAACGGAAGACGTCGATGGAGCAGAAGAATTCTGCAGAATTCTGAAGCATTTCAGGCCTTTTGATTCGGACATTTACACTCTTCTTCTGAAGACTTATGTTGCTGCAGGGAAAACGTCTCCAGATATGCAGGAGAGGCTGGAGGGAGATGCGATCGAAGTGAACGATGAGCTCAAGGAATTGCTTCACAAGGTTTGCCCTTAACTATTACTATTAACCATTCTATGATGGATGAGTCTTTGTTCTATGATGGGGAAGCAGATACCAATGTGATAAGGATCCTCGATCGGTTACTAGTTTCTTCTTCTTGTGTCATGAATCTTGATATTTTGTACTACTAAATGATAATATTGTTGGGTGGGTGGACATTCTTGGTTTGTGGAAATCTTCTGTGTGAAATAACACATCCTATTATGACATGTCATAACGTTTCAACTAGGGGGACCATTTCGGGTTTCCGTTCGGGTTCGGTTCGGTTATAGAAAAATTATAACCATTCGGTTTTTATATAAACTTCGGTTCGATTCGGATATTTTTTTTTATTCGGGTTCGGTTTGGGAAAAAATTTATTTTTTCAAAAAAAAAATTGTCGGTTTTTTCAGTTATTTTTTTTTATTTGGTTCGGTTTCGGTTTTTCGGGTGTAAGTAAATCATAACTGTTTGGTTTTGATGTCGGGTGTGGTTCAGAAACGGTTATGTCTTATTTGATTCGGTTATTCGGTTAATAACCGAAATGACCACCTCTAATTTCAACCAACCATGCAAACTCACTGGAAAAAAAAACTCGGAAGAGTCTGTCGCAGCAAAGAAGGGATTCTATCGTAAATGACGACTTGGGACGGAAGGTGATGAAACAAATTGTGTCGCTGCAGCGCTACGCAAAACTAATCGCAACTTTCGGCTCAAAACATGGCGACGGAATTTGGCTAACGAACGAAATTTCTTTCGTGAATTTGTCAGCGCATTCTAATGCCAAGAAATAAGAAAGTTAACTTCTTGCTATTAGACGCGTGTCAATCACAATCTTTCACCGATAGTCAACGTAATAGCAGCGATGATGCCACGCGTTGGGAGTGAGAAACCCTTTAAACCCACCATGCACTACGCCTACCGCGTTTGTGGAACGTCGTTTCGGCGATGCCTTTGCAAAGGCACGTATACTTTCACTAAGTGGTATACATATATGATACATCGTTATCGCGATCTGATAACCTTCGTTAGTGCCTTATCCAAGATTTTTTTCACATATTCCTCTCGTTTTGGAGTCGCCACGTTTTTCAGAGTTTTTTTTTTTGTTAAAGGTGCATCTATAAATCAAATAATTTGGTTACAACTTGCATGTCGGGTTTTACACCGCATAGTAGAACACGAAAGAACTTCCATGTCAGGTGGATTTTACAAAAAAAAAATAATATCATAAGAGTAAATTCATGTTTGAAGGGGTCAAGGTGGTCTTGTGAGGTGAAACCATGCTTGAAGAAGAATGTTTTCCCTTGGCTCCGTTCCTTGGTGGCTAGAGAGGATGACATTCCGCACTAGGCGGTCAAGTCTCGGTCGGATTGTTTCTATGTCGGTGGTTTGCGAACGGAAGATACGGTTGTTCCGTTCTAGCCATATGAGATAGATCACTGACTGGAATGTGATTTTTCAACGTCGTTTTTCAGAGTTTGGTGAACGTGGGTGTTAGTCGTTTCGTAGTTATCGTGTTTGGGGCTATAAATAAGGTTTGATCGTTAAACTATGTCCCGCATCAGACAAACAAGTGTTTCTTGGTTTCTTGTATGCGTGAGTGTACTTTGGTGACGTGAGTGGTCTGAGAGATAATAGAAAAGAGAGAGATAACAATGGGGAAGGTTGTAAAAAGGGTATGTGTTTTGGCAATGGTGATGATGCTTATGATGTCGATGGAGGTGACGGGACTGGTGGAGAGGACTTGTCGGGACGAGGGTGGTAAAACCATTGACGTTAGAAAGGCGGATTGCGGCGGTGGCAGTGGTGTAGGAGTTGAAGGAGGAGGCGGTGGCGGTGTAGGAGTTGGAGCTGGTGGAGGAGTTGGCGGTGGAGTTGGAGGCGGAGGAGGAGGAGGAGCAGGAGCCGGAGGTGGTGGAGGCGGAGGCGGTGGCGGTGGTGTTGGAGCCGGCAGAGGAATAGGGGCAGGAGGAGGCATTGGTGGTGGAGGAGGTGTAGGCGGCAGAGGCGGCGGTTCCGGTGGAGGTGGTCGTGGTGGCGGCGGTGGAGCCGGGGGAGGAATAGGAGTAGGAGGAGGCATCGGTGGCGGTGTAGGTGGAGGAGTTGGTGCCGGTGGAGGAATTGGCTGTGGCGGAGGTGCTGGCGGTGGTGGTGGTGGAAGCGGCAGAGGTGGTGGTCGTGTA